CAGTAGGGCTGCTCTGCCTGGTTTGGAGCGCGGAGGGCGGATCCGTTGGCGCTGCCGTCCCGGTTTCCCTCGCTCTCCGCCTTGGAAATGGCTTGGGAAGGCTGCCGCTTGCCTTGCCGTGGCTCTGAGCAAGTTGGTGCAGCCGTGGTGAATGGGATGAGCTACGCTTTTTTTTTTTTACATTTTTTTTATCCTGCCTTTCTTATGTTATAACTAATTCAAGGTGGCAACATACCTTATATCCTTCCTCCTCCTGTTTTCCCCACAACAACCACCTTGTGAGGTGAGTCGGGCTGAGAGAGGGGGACTGGCCCAAGGTCGCCCGGCCGGCTTTCATGCCCAAGGCAGGACTAGAACTGCCATCTCCTGGTTTCACGCCTGGTGCCTTCACCGCTACGCCAACCTGGCCCTCTCTTCCCATCTCAACATCTACACTTGGCTGGGTTTCCACAGTGCCCTAAGCTGTAACCCATGGTTTTAAAGTCATCACTGAATTTGCACAAAAGCGGAGGGATTGAAGCCTAAACTTTCTTCCTACCTTGGTGAATGGTTAGCATGAAGTCCAAGTTTTTTGTAGAAATCGGCGCTGTTCGCAGGAGACACTGAAACATCAACCGGGCAACCATATTTTACAGTAGTCTGATGTGTTGCATGATGGCTTCCTTTAGTGATATGTTTGTTGATGGATTTTAAAAAGCAGCATAACAGGTAGACATTTATCCTTCCAGTTCTGGTCAAAAATAACAGCATTTTTAGATATTTCTTGCATAATAACCTGAGCCACAAAATAGCTGACTACATTTTTAGACTAGCATGTTGTGTATATGGAGTCCATAGGGTGAGTTTATGCTTCGCTGTAGCGAAGGAGCCCAGAACATTGAGTTGAGTAAACCATAGCTTACGATGTGTTATAAGCACAAAATATGGCAGACTGGCAACGCCAGTTTAGAATGGGTAAACTGGAGGGTTGTGAGTTAGCCAACAGAGAGATCGAGGGAGGAAAATCAAATCCAAACAATGAAAATTAAATCCAAATAGTGAAGCTAAAAGTGCCTCTCTCCATTTCACAGTGAATCTGATCATTCTTTATTATTTCAGATAGAAAACGTAGGTGGTAAGCATTTCTATAGAAACAAAACAGGGCTACTGGAAAACAACAAAGAGAAGTATTGATATATTTGGGGGAGCTCCAAGGCTTATAGACTTTCAAAACTGTAAAAAGCTGATTCAACCCTCCAAAAGACCTGATTTTTATAAATTATTCTAATATGACTTTTATCTTTTTTCCCCGCCCCAGAGAAACACTTGGTCCTCCTTCGAGATGGCAGAACGCTGATTGGATATTTACGCAGCATTGATCAGTTTGGTATGCCACCCTAATCTTGCCATTTATGTACTCCTTTATTGTCCTTTGTACAGCTCGTATTTGGCCGTAGCCAGGAGTTCAGAGAAAGAAAAAATACTGAGGGAGGAATGGGGAGAAGGAAAAATGTAGCCTTTCATTCTGAACTTAATAGCACTTATTACTGACAGAGTTTCACTATTTAGAGCCAGTTTGGTGTAGTGGTTAAGGCATCAGGCTACTAGGAGACCAGGAATTCTAGTCCTACCTTAGATGCAAAGCCAGCTGGGTGACCTTGGGCCAGTCCCTCTCTCTTAGCCCTAGGAAGCAGGCAATGGCAAACCACTTCCAAAAACCTTGCCAAGAAAACTGCAGGGACTTGTCTAGGCAGTCACCAGG